TGATGAGGGCAATGAATGTACAAATGTGCTTTACACAATTGATCTATGTATGGATTGTGATAATAGTTGTATGAGCCCCTAATAAAATGATTAAAAAAACGCACAATGAACACAGGGGGAAAAAAAGAAATTTGCATAGGAAGTTACCTCCGGTGTCCATCTTCCATCTGGAACAAGACTGGGACTGGTCAGGTGCAGGTACTGGGCAAAATCACTTGTCTTACCTCTTCCCTGGGCTATTTAATGTCTGGACAAAGACCAGAACCCACTCTGTGTAGTTGCAACTTCTGCCTGCCACCACCCACAGGATTTAAGGGAGTGGAGGTCAGCCAGGTCAAGGCTGGTGCGAGAGGGCAGAGTCGAGTCTGATGAGGACTGACCAAGCCTCAGCAGGGGGCAGTACAGCAAAATAAGGTGTCAAGGTAAAGGAGCTGCCATCTTCTATAATGACCTTGGGCCTCAACTGTGGTTGACACCAGAGACCACAGCTTTTGGCATGGGGCAGCCCAAGATGAGCCTGCCTATCTGAGCTAGGCAAAGCACAGTGGCCGGAAAGGTGCTGACCCTGGCTCTGGACAAGGACGAGTGTTCACAGGAATGGAAAGGGGCGAGGGGAGGGCTTGCAGAAGGCCTGGTGGAGGGGGCTGCAGGAGAATTTATATGGTGGGCCCCTCCTTACCTTGACCTGTCCCTGTCTCCGTCTTCTGGCTCCTTCCCTCTGCCTGTGCTTTTCTCGAGCCCTTCAGGCACCTGGGAAGTGATAGACTACCAGGGTTCTCTGTAGGCTTAGTTTAAACACTAACCTCTATGACCCTGTGGCGGTCACGGTTCCTCTCAGGCTTTTGGTTTCCTCATCTGTGCAATGACTGGAGCCAGTAGGGTCTAAATAAATAGAATGAATAAAATAAAGTGCCTACAAAGTACCTGGCACATTGTAACCACATTGCCGTTGAGTTGATCTCCATTTGTGGTGACTCCGTGTGTTGCAGTGGAGGGCTGCTCCATTGCTTGAAATCATTACAGAAGCAAGTCATCAGGCTCTTCTTCCACAGCACCACCGGATGGGTTTGGATCAGCCACCTTTGGGTTGGTGTGATGGGTAGGTTTATTGTGCCAACCTGGCCAATAGGAACATGTGGGATTAATAAGGTCGCAGTTTGATTGGAGGGCAAAGAGTTAAATGGCTTGGCAAGCCCTGCCTCTATCACTCTGGTGATCAAACCAGCATGCGGCTGCGAGTTCTCTGCCT